ATCGTGGCGACCCTGTGTACAACAGTCAGGTCTGAATCGTGGCGACCCTGTGTACAACAGTCAGGTCTGAATCGTGGCGACCCTGTGTACAACAGAATGAAGCCCTGCCCGGCCCTGTGCCGTCCTGAGAATCCTTGCTACGCTTGAGCCCCTCGTTGCAGTCACTGTAAAAGTCCATCTGGACTGATACCTTCTGTGTATCAAATTCTGTGCTAAACTCCACCTCCAGAAGTTTTAATGTTGAAAAGAACCTTTGGAACATCTTTGGTCCAATTGATAGAACAGAAAACTTAGGCCCAAAGAGGTAAAGTAATTTCCCCAACATGACACACTATGACGATGGGTATTTCCAAAGCTGTTTTGTGGAACGCTGATCCCTTGAGCTCTGGTGGTGTAGTGGTTAAGACTTTTGGCTGCTAACCAAAAGGTTGGCGGTTGGAACCCACCAGCCGCTGTGTGGAAGAAAGATGAGGCAGTCTACTTCCATAAAGATTATATCCTTGGAAACCCAATGAGCAATTCTACTCTGTCCTCTAGGGTCACTTTGAGTAGGAATTGACTCAGTGGCAATGGGTTTAGTTTGTTTGATTTTAACCCCTTAAGATGTTCTACCAGAACAAAAAGATGCATGAATAATACATGGATAAATAAATACATTCATCAACAGCTTGGATAACAAAAATGCACTATCCCCGCATCCTCCCTTAGAGATTCAGAGCTCACATCACCATATTAAAGGCCAACTGGAGTCTTATTCTAAAGAAATCTGGTGAGCTGTGTTCATTAAACTACTTTACCCTTGATCACAAGATACAGTTTATGAAATGTTAATGTAAGATGTCGGCAGTTCTTTGAAAGAAGCAAATTTGACGTAAGTACAGTTTTCATACTTTGGATCTGGGGTTGACCAGATTCTCAGAGCTCAAGGTCACTCTGGGACAAGAGGGATGGACAAGGCAGAGGAGGTGCCAGGCAGATCCTCACTGCTACAAACTCAAAAAGGTTATGAGGAGTGGGAGACGGCCAATGTGTGAGTCCCAGCTTTCTCTCATGGGTTATACAAGAATTTGGGCAACTCACTCAGGTTATTCCCTGAGCCAGTCTTTCCTTGTTTACAAAATTGGGATAATAGTGACCACACAGGGGTGGTGGTGTTCGCTGCTGTGAGTTGACTATGACTCTTGGTGATTCCCATGTGTGT